TTAAATGTTGCTAATGACTATTTTTATTGTAGTGAATTATAGTTGTGGCCGAATGCTTAAGGTTTGTATTGTGCCAAAGACATGTCCATTTTAAAGAAGTCAAACATCATGTTTGTTGTGTCCCTTACATGTTATGTAGACACGGGTATTGTATCAAAACTAAAGGGTCATATTAAAAAGCTATTAGATATTATTTTCCAAGTATATTTGGAACATATGAATTGCACAAATACTATGCTAAGCTTTTTTACTTAGCGGGAAGCCTATACATTAGTTATTTCAGGTATCGTTTTGATATTAGATTAGTGCACCATATCATAGTTGGAACTAAATGGAAACACAAGTATGATATACTAATTGTGCTGAAAATGATAGCATCAGTATAATGACTCAAGTCCAAAAGGGGATCATGGACATCAATTGCTAAGAAATCCTACTTCAAATTCTAGTTATCTCCTCAGACTAAAACTAACTAGTAAAGAAACCAATTTTGCTTTGAAGGTGCAATATATCTTACGATCCTGCAGAATTAAAAGGTACTTCACTGTCGCCATCTCCGAGATGTTAAATGTCATAAAGAACAAGCTTACCTTGGATTGTAATTTCATGATTTGAGCTAATCCCATTTATAACATCATAAACCTCTGCTTCAGATAAGTGAAAATCGGCTCTTAACGTAAGTAATTCTGAACTTAGGTGGTAAGTAATTCTGAACTTAGGTGCCCTAGCCTCAAAACTGTGAAATGGATCACCTTAATGATAGAAAAATAAAAAACATGAAATCTCACCCACCTACTGGCAACAAGCATCAATTTGCCCTTCGATTGCAAATGATATCTGAGCAGTGCAGGCTGTGCAGCCATCTTCCCAAACTGCTATAAATTCTGGTTCTTAAAAGGATGTCAGAAACCAGATCCAGTGAAAAAAGGTAGTTCCATGTTAGTCCTGATCAAGTAGATAAGTACAGGGTGTTGATGAGGTGAGAAAACCGTTGCAGTGCCACCACACATGAGAGGTTTGTAATTCACCAGGAATAGCTGCAAGGTAAAATATTCAGAATCGCCAAAAAGAATGATAAAAACTTTATATTCAGAATCACTGCCTACAGATACAGGCTCCACTAGGAGGGCTTATTAGGTGGAAATTCAAACTGTAAGGCACGGAATTTCTTCCTTCACATGAAAAGATCAGTAATGTCCTAGTCAAGCTAACAATAAACAATGTCTCTGTATCAATAGCAGCTTCTCCAAACCTTCAATTCGCCTACCCAAATACCAGCATTAGTAAATTCCAACTGATAATGTCATATAAATCCACAGAACACCAAAAAGTACTTACACTTATCGTCGTGTAACATACTGTCCAATTTGTAGCTATATCCTCAAAATTCTGATCTACTTTTCAGAGGTTATGCAGAATGACAAGGTCCACTCTATTTATACTATTCAATCATTCAAAAAAGTTCACTCTCTCTCACATATTGCAACATTAGTGCTAACAGCTGCATAAAACTCACTCTCATTTAGCAATTTCTCTGAAGATCCTTCTTAACCCGATTCTGCAGGTTATATTGGGCAAGTCAGTGGCTCTATCTCCAGAATGGACCTTTCCTTGCACCAGTTGACAGCCTCAACCACAAGTTCTCCATCTAGGTTCTGAAACCTATTACTCCTGCTAGACCCTCTGGTGCAACAGGATTTTGAAAAATATGAATAGTACTCAAAAACGTTAGCAGGTTGATTCAACATAATACCGATGATTTAGGCATCAAATATTCGTTGATTTGTTAGGAATATCAAAAAATTGAAAGAATTGATAAATTCTCAAAATTTTATTCATAAACAACCAAGTAAAAACTATAAAGATTTTAAATAGGAAAAACTGAAGTAGGGAAAAACCCTAAACTTGCTAAGGCCATAATTTCCCGAGTAAATTAAAGTGCAAGAATTAATAATAAAGATAAAACTAAGAAAACAATCATAGACATAGTGAGTCTGATTTCATTATTTTCCTTCTGTTGGAGAAGATTCACCCACGAATCTTGCGTCATGTATTCATCCATGTCTCACCAATACAAACTTTTAATTGTAACGAGAAGATACAAACTCACATTACAATAAAGTTTATTGTTTTCTCTTCTTGCGAAATGAATTCTACTTCATTTATATCATCACTGCTTGTATCATGGCCATTTTTTATGATAACCTCAATATAATATTGTGCACCTTTTCTCTGATATGTATGCCATAGTATTTACTACTGGTGTGTAAAATGTTGACCCATATAATTTAAGAATTAGAATTGTCCCTTCATAGCCTGCTAAAACTTCTCCAAACCTATGACAACGAAAGCGATTGTTGTAGAAGTTGAATGCTTATTCATCCTAGTTGCACCAACAAACCCAAAGCTAGGAAGTAAAGTATTTTCTTCAGAAGTAAACAAAGCTTTACTAGTGATGGATATCGCTGTTTCACGTGGAGTAAGTTATCCCCAATGGTGTTCAAGCACCAAATGTTGAATGAAACTTTGCATTTATCCAACTTTGTACCTTTTGTGCAATTTGATTGAAAGATATTTTTGCATCGCCAGTTCTTGTCATCACTTTTGCTGTGTCAAACAAATTTGCCGAGCAATCAAAAGTTGCCTTGTATCTGTGAACACTATTTGCGGATCTTGATATCTTCTTTGATATCAATGTCAAAAATAGGCTGATTATCATAATCTACACCTCAATCAACAGCAATTGAAGAAGAAAAAGTTGTCCTTGCGATCAGAGTCCTCCATCTTTGAATCCGCAACCACTACTCCCTCACGCTACCATAATAGAGAATCAATCCTTTCATCAACACCTCCATTTGTCGATGCAGTTATTTCATCTGTACTAACTGTGTCATCCGGAATACTTGTGAACGTAGTTATTCTAACATCTCATCACATCGCATGATTTCCATTAGCACGGTGTCATGAACTTCATGACGTACATGAGCTCTACATACCGTAAACTCTGTAATGGAATTATGCGCATTAGAATAATCACTCCAAGACACTCTTTGATTTGCTAGAATATTAAGGCTCTGGATGTCAAATATTCATAGATTCAGTAGGAATACCGAATAATTGAAAGAATTGATAAACTATCAAACTTTTATTCATAAACAAACTAGTAAAAATGAAAACATATAAAGAATATAAGTTGTAAAAACTAAAGTAGCAAAACGCAATACCTACAAAGGACAAGTAACTTAAAGTGCTAAAAATATCAATAAATATAAAACTACAAAAGCAAATAAATATTGAAAGTCAAGCTTCATCACCTTCAAACCAAAATTAATTAAATAGATGGACATGACTCCATAATGAAACCCAAAATGTGCACTTATTTCAAACTTCCCATTTGCACACAAACGAGAGACTACCATGCCCAACATAATTTACTCATGTCCTAAAGATGTCTACTTCTCCAAGAAAATATTACAGTCAAATCTGATGTTTTATAATTAATTTATAAATTAATGTTATTTCTTATTTCTTAGGCTTGTTTCTAGGTTGAAAAGACAAGATATACGGTAGCTGAAAACTTTATATTCATTAGGCNATACGGTTGCTGAAAACTTTATATTCATTAGGCCTAAAGTCTTCTTTCAAGTTTAAAGAAGGAACAAATAAAGGAAGAAGCTTCCTACTTTCAAGAGGAACATAAAACAAACCGGTAAAAATGGATACATTTTAATAAAATCTACATAGTATTTCAACGATGTTCACTGACATAATAAATTTGGTGCAGTGATCAATTTTGAGAAGGTGTTTACATTTAAATTATGATTGAGACTGCTACAAGCAGCATAATGTTCATGGTAATATGGTTGTAGTTTCTATTTTATCTACTTGAATGCAGGCATAAAATGTATTGATGCATTCGTCCAATTTAGCCAGCTGTTCCTAATTTGCTTATTTCTTGCTAGTTTTGGCAGGGGGAAGTAGCAAGCTTGAGGAGACAACTACAGTACTTACAAGAAAGCCACAGGTTAGTTCATTATCCATTAAATATATAGCAAATCCAACTAACGCCACATAGATCTTTCATGTCCAAGCAATGAAAGAAGAAGGTTATGATCCCATTAAAACTTAGGTTAGAGGCATGACACAGAACACAGCCAAAGTAAATATTGTACAAGTGATATCAGAGTAAATTGCAAATACAACACTAGCTCTTTAGTTACTTCAATAAACTGCAAATTATCCCATAGATTTTTAACGTACCTATCCCCCCTACATAGAAAATGGGGCCGTGAATATCTAAAGAGAAAATGATCAGTTGGTCAAAGGAAATAAATACAATTAGGTCGAGTCAATTGAAGAGAGTCCCTAGCAGGGTAATAAAAACTGTGCAGGGGCTCTCACGTGTTGGATGAATCTACCAAGAAATGAGTTCTTGACCGTGTACTAAACACGATATCACAATTTTTTCTCAGAAACAAAAAATGAATAATGTAGCTTGCAATCTTGTTATGGATGTGCAATTATGTCAAATGTTAGTACATTCCACTGAAATTTAGAATGAAAAATATTATGCAAACAACTGCAATAGATTCATTTTTTGAAAGAAAAAAATGAGCCTTATTTTTTCATAATAAATTTTGTAGAAAGTGATATTTTGGAGAATGTGTTGTTCAAAGGTAGGAAAATATTTTGGATTTACATGCAAATATTTTTTGTTGGGATAATGTGTGCTTGAAAATAAATTTGTGAAAAATTGAGTTTTAGAAAATAGAACTCAAACAAAGGCATGCAATGAGCTTGTATGTGTTTTTTTCAAAATTAGAAAGTTGCATTCAGCTAAATTAGTCAGCCTATACAAAAATGGAATTTTCCAATAGTATTAGAAAAAAAATATTTCAGAATATCTTCACCACGAAAAATGCAGTAAAAATGATGGGAGATACATACGCAGGCTCGCACATAATGCAATCCAAGAGGCATACTGTATGCCTCTTTTTTATGATAAATGTAGGCAGCTTTTGGGAGGAGAACTTTCTGGATTGAGCATCATAGACCTGCAAAACCTGGAAAATCAACTGGAAATGAGTTTGAAAGGCATCCGCATGAAAAAGGTTAGTATCCTTGAAGTTTTTCTGTCCAAGAGAGTAACTATTTATTTTTGTCTACAGCTGCCATTATCAAGTAAATTTGAGTTCTGAGAATTTCTTGTTTCTCACAGGAACAAATCATGACTGATGAAATGAAAGAGTTAAACCGAAAGGTCCACTTCCAAAATCATTTAGATTTTCACTTTTTTATTAGATGCAGTCACAAATTTAATGACTGTTTATTGATTTCTTTACAGGGGAGTCTCATTCATCAAGAGAACATAGAACTGCGTAAGAAGGTAGACCTTGTTCATCAAGAAAATGCAGAATTGCGGAGAAAGGTACACCAACCATTACCGTGAAAAGTACTGTAGTTCAGGCCTGGTAGCCGAACATTTTTTCCAGCTGAGCTTAACACAAGTTTTGATCCAGGTTCATGGCTCACAGAATATTGATGAAGCAAACAGGGTTTCCTACATAATTAACAATGCAATTAACAATGAATATGATTTGCGCGGCCCCATCAATCTACAGCTAAGCCAACCTCAAACTCAGAAGAGTCCACCAACAATAATGATGAAGTTGGGGTAAATTCTCTCTCTAAAAGATCCTTGTTTGATATTTATAATAATAATAAATAATAATCATAACACTGAGTATTCCAACAGGCTTCAGCTGCATTAGAAAGGTAGCAGAAATATGCATAAAGCAACGAAGCCATCAGATTCATGTTTGATGCCATGTAAGGAACCTATTAAGAGTTGATGGAAACATTCAGTGACAATAAGTTGTAAACAAATGCTGAAGAATAAAAACATGGGATGTGTGAGGTTGGTTCAAGACAAACTTTTGTGACAATTAATGTTTGTGATTCTGGTACTCTTAAGACAACATTTTCATCGAACTTAAAGAAACCACAGATACAGTACCTCAAGACAACATTTTCATTGAGGAAACAATAAATAGCTTAGTAAAATAGATGGCAATTGGCATACAGATTGTAACCGGAAAATGTCTTATACCATTAGTTTCTACTTTACAAAAACATGCTGCATAACCCAAAAAAATAAGCTAGCTCCTCAGCATGTCATCATAATGAAATACTCTGTAGAAATCGTTTGAATTCCCCTAACTAAAACAATTGGTTAATTAATTTGCAGTGGTCTATGCATTTAAAGAAACCAAAGTTACAGCACCATAAGACAAACATTTTCATTAAGGAAAGTGTTATAAACAGCCTTGTGTAATCGATGGAAAATAGTATAAAGATTGTGATCGACAAAAGTTCTATACCAGATGAGTTTTCAGTTTGACAATAACATGTTGCATCACCATGAAAAATAAGCTAGCACTTCAGCACGCATTCATGATGAAATACTTGCCTCGTGAATTGTAAACCGCGAAAATAAATTAAGCCCTTGTCCGGGAGCCATTGTTAGGAGTAGAATTCATTTTTCTATCAAATCATGTGGCCCACCATTTCTGCAAGGGAGTTAATTTCCATATTTTGTTGCTTTTGTGAGTTCCATTTATACCCTCATTTTTGGCAAGTACTGTGCGCATTTTTTTTTAGAGATGTGGTCAGAATAGGTAAAGTGAAATGAAAAAAATAAATTGAACATAAATGTCATTTTTTGCCTGATGAAATTAATAAAAAAGTGGTTTTTTGAAAGAGCAATGGTCTGATTTCTTCTAATTGGGACAAAAAAATGGAAAATAAACAAGCACTAAGTGATCTTTTCAACTCATATATTGGGAAAATTGCAGATACTTGTAATAATGTTAAACTTTTTAGTTTACGTTTTCTTCGACAAGAAAAATTCCATTTACTACCCCATTGTTTTTTTCCAAATATACTTAAGTTTGAAACTCTAAAAATACAACCACCACCTCACGCACTACCATTGTCGTCATCGGAGGCCATCTATTTGCTGAACACCAATACCTCTTGCTAAATTTTCTCTAAAATCAATTTTTTCGTCAATGGTTCTCTTGAAGATTTGTTATATTATAGCCCTTGTTTGGTTTGGCTAAAAAATTATATTTAAAATTTAAGTCAAGGTAAAAAATTAGTCCTTTTTTGATAGTAATAAAATTCTTGTTTGAGCCACATTTTGGTAAGAAAATGAATTTTAAAATAGTGATTTTTTAGAGAATATGTGGTTGAAAAGAATGAAAAGTTTTCGATTTAAGTGTAAAATTATTTTATGGAAGAATGTGATTGAAAATGAGTTTTTGCAAAAATATGAGCTAAATATAGGCTTAGATTTTAATATAAACCAAATTTAATAATTAATTTTAATCACATATTTTATGCAGTGTTCTAAAATTCTTCAAAATGCGGCGCCTAGGAGCGCATAGGCGCAGCGCACGACAAAAACGCGTCGCTTTTGTAGTATGCGCGTAAAAATGCGGTCAACAGTTTTTGTTGACCACCTAGGCGTCTCAATGCGCGCTAATGCGTGCATAGGCGTGCATCAGGCAAGCCTATGCCCACCTAGGCGCGCATTGAGTCGCCTACATTTTTTTTTTTTTTGGATATAATATAAAAAATTATTTTTTTAATATAAAAATCTATTTATTATATTAAAATAATATTAAAAGTACGAAACGCATTATGACGCATATTCTCCGCATTGACACGCTTAAACTTGTGATTCTTGATTCTCGACCTCGACGCATCACGACGCATTACGCATTTTAGAACACTGATTTTATGTGATCCACAACTTTTCAACCACACATTTTATCAACTTTTATCAAAATATTTTAAAATTGTGATTCATATCTAAACCAAATAGGTGCATAATTAGGTTTGATTTTCATTTTTTGAGAGATTACATTTTGTGGTTGTGTGCGGATTTAACAACTATCATCGATGGTGGGGCAATGTTGGTGGTTGTTATGGTGGCTTAATGGTGTAGATAAATTGTTGGTGGAGGTGAGTTATGATATTCGATGTGGTGGTTGATGGTGGAGTCGGTGATGGTGGTTACAAGGAGTATCAATTTCAAGCGTGGTGGTGGTTGATGGAATTGTTTTGGGCTAGCGATTTTTTAGTCGGCTGGTTTAAAGAACTCAATCCTAAGATGTCATTGAAACCATCTAACGATTTTTTTTACTTGAACGTATGAAAAAATAATGTTAATTTAAAAACTACAAAAGTAATTATGCAATTTGTTGAATTTTACAAACAAAGTGATCATTAATTTACAAACTAAAAAAATTAATGATGTTAGTGGTTTAAAAAGGCGGGTCACGTGAGCCCGCATATGGGTCGACCCGTATTTGGGCTCGTACGGCTCGCAAGTTTAGGCTTGGCACAAGTTTTGGCTCATACAAACAACCTCCAAGCCAGTTCAGCTCAAACCTTTTTCGAATTGAGCCACGAGTCACCCAAGTCGACATGCTTGTTTACCACCACTATATCAACCTAAAATCCAAGATATGTCATATGAGAATAAGCCCATGTTTGGCAATTATTATTTTCAAACTCTTTTTTTTATATACTCATTATCAACTACATATTCACATAATAAAATGTTGTGCGCGTAAAACCAAAACTTTTCGTACTTTTTAAATGCACATTCTCCTTAATAAATTACTATTCAAAATTCTATCTTCCCCAATTTTTCTCGAGAAAAGATGAAGCCTTAGCACTTGTTTGATATGTGTTTATATACTTCTATGTTTATAAATAAGTAGAAATAAACTATGGATAAGTATATAATGCTTTCGGTCTTAGGAAATTTATAAATAAAAAGTAATTTAACTTTTAAAATACATATTTGTAAATATACTTGTGAACACTTGCCTAACGTATCCTTTGACTATCCAAAGAAAGAACATATCCTACATAAATAAAAGAGTCACTTGGTGGTTACTGTTCATAAGTCGAGCCGAGCCAAATGGCTTTATGGCTCGGCTGAGTAGTTTTTTTTTTTTTT